GAGGAGCCGGCCCCTTCGCTCCTCTGGCTGCACCCGCCGCGCCCCCCCCCATGGCTCCTCCGGAGTCCGACCGTGCCTCCCGCCCCCTCCTCGCCTGCAGGAGCCCAGCGCCGGCCCGGCTGGCGCCGCTTTTGAAAAATATACTGAGGGGAAGCGGCTGCTTCCCCTGAACCCTCCTAGCTACGCTACTGAAGTACAGCCAACTGTACCTCAGCTCTGACCTTCAGTGCAGTGCAGCCTGCATAGCAATGGGACACATTATAATTGCAGCAAGTGGAAAGAGTTTCTTTTGCTGGTAAAAACAGTTCCTAGCCTATTGTGAGATTGGGAGTTGCTATGCTGGATTTTTCTGCCTAATGATGACAGCAGCAAATTTCTCCCTCAAAAAATAACCTCAACAGTAAAACCCTCTCCCCCGCCCCAGAAAAATCCCTTATTTTTCTAGTATGTATTGAAAGAACGAAAGGTTTTTAACTTGCTTAACCAATGACTAGGGGTGAGGAGACAACCATCTACAAGTATTTGAAGGGTGCAGATCCTATGGAGGGCGAGGAATGGTTCAGGGTGGTCTAAGCAGTATAACTTGATGTAATAGGATGAAAATTAAAATACAGGATGAATTTCAAGAAAATATTCCAAACAGCGAGTTCTTCTGGGGTGTGGAATAGTATCTCAAGGGAAGCCTTGTCTCTAGAGTCATTTAACATTAGACTGGACAAGTTCTTCAAAAACATGGTGTTGAAAACATCTTGCTGTGGCAGGTGGGTGAGTTTTAGATGTCCTAATGCATCTCTCTTTTTCTGTGAACTGCTGCTCTTGAGGGCAGACTCAGCAGGAAGGTTTAGGATAGAATTGGCATGTGAAGTGAGCTACTCTTTCACCCTGGAAGTGATCTTTTCAGGATACACACATCGGTGAGGAAGTGTAAGGAAGCGTGTATGGCCACCGCCTGTGCTGTATTTGTGCTATGAGGCAAAAAAGAACTTCAGCCGCCAGCACTGTCACCGGCATTATATTTTATTTAAAATAATGAGATCTAATTTTGCTTTTATTTTTGTAGGACTTCTACAAGCGCAAGAGCTAGAGGTGAAGGTGTTCCATGCAGGCACAACCATGAGGGATGATAAAGTGGTGACTGACGGTGGCAGAGTCCTTACAGTCACGGCTATCAAGGAGGATCTGATGGCAGCACTGGAAGAAGCCAACAAAGGAGTAGCAGCCATACGGTTCCAGGGTGCCATTTACAGAAAGGACATTGGTTATCAGGCTATAGCTTTCCTGCAGCGGTCTGTGTATGTAAGCAAGGGCACTAGCAGAAATAGATGCTTGCCTAGCCCACAGCCATTCATATTGTTCTGATTCTGTGATGAGCAACAGTGATGGAGAAAATGTTACTATAACCACAAATGTGCCCCCTTTTCCCTTTCAGAGGCCTGATACATGGTGACGTACGTGTAGACACTATAACCAGCAGTGCTTTGATTAATCAATCTGAACCACCAGCTGCAACTGGTAGTAGATCAGGTAAGGTTAGAACAGTTCTGCAAACTTCCTCTATTTTGAATGAAACCTGAATTCCTCCTAAGAAATGAGCAGACTGACCTTTCCACTCAGGTGAAACACCTGGCATTGGTATCACTAATGAGGCGATAGCACTTGCATATGATTGAACCAGGGCTTAAATCATCTTTACCAAAGAGAATTCTCATTTTCTTGTGTCTCTTTCTTGTTTAAACCATCCACTTAAGTTAAACAAGGGGAATGACATTCTCTTTCAGTTACATCCCTGGCTTGACCTTGACACACTAGACAATGGGAACTTGTGGAAAGAGAGCTTGCTGTGAAATGAATTGTTGGATCATCAATTTTTTAAGATAGTATGTAAGCCGATAAGGTTTGGGAACCACTGCACTAGATTACTGTAGTATAGCAAATCTTGCCACTAGCTTTTTAGTAGAATATTATGTCGGTGTCCACTGAAGTCATGCTGTATTACCACTGGTCAACTGTTACAGTAGTTCTTGTACCAGCTGCATAGATTGTTTTAGCAGTGTATGATATGCATACAGGTATCTGTGATCTTGTTAATGAACACTGAATTTTGAAGTCTGCTGTTCACACTGTACCTTTTGTTAGTAACAGTCATGTGGTCGGAGGAAGGCTTTCTGTTACATAATTAGTTTTTATGGAATAAGAAAGATTTTTAGTGGAATAAGAAAGATTATCAGCTAAGAAGGGATCAGTTGGTAAATACTGGTCACCAGTGATTTTTTGCTGTAGATACACTATAATTTACAAAATACTAGGCCATAAAAATGAGTTATGACAACATGAAAGACGTGATTTCAGGATCTGTACTTCATATGATTGTACATGTTTCTAGTTTAGTCGGTGGGACCAGTAATAAGTTGTCCAAGCTGTAATGATTTTCACTAGTAACGCTTGTTGTTGTTGTTTTCCTTAGAGTTACCTAAAAGTTGTCCTGGGCATTTTTTGTACGCAGGCAGCCATGCAGAGCTGGGAGGCTCTACTGATTTCTTTGACTTGAAATCATCTGGTTATGATGATCCTATCTTGGTATCTCGAACTAAAGGCATTGGATCTAAATTGCAGGTAACCACTGGCATGCCCATACCAGAGCTTATGTTGTTTGCTGAGAATTTTAAAAATAGCACAATGTATTGTACAGCGTACAACTCTGAGCATTGTAAAGACATTGGAGGTATGTCTGTGCTGGAATAAAAGATCCGCAGCTGGCCCAGGTCAGCTGATCTGGGCTCAGGCTGCAGGGCTAAAAATTGCTGTGTAGATATTTGGGCTCAGGCTGTAGCCCGGGCTCTGGGACCCTCCCACCTTGCTGTGTCCAAGAGCTTTGGCTCCAGCCTAAGCCCAAATGTCTACAGAGCAAATTTACAGCCCCACAACCCAAGCCCTGTGAGCCCAAGTCAGCAGACCCGGGCCAGCTCTGGGTGTTTAATTGCTGTGTAGACATACCCTACAGGTCCACGCTAGTCAAATGATATGAGATGCTGCTATCACACACTCATAACACATATCCTACACCCACCACCACCTGTCTCCCTACAGCCTCACCACCACAAGTACGTTGCACTTCCTAGATTAAGCTAATTGAGACTTGCGTGTATGTGCATGTACGTATTTGGGAGTAAATGAAGGTTCTAGAACTGCCATGATGATCTTTTGGCTCTTGAATGTTTCCTACTTCAAAAAAATCTCACTGGGGAAACTTAGTACCACTCTTTCCTCGCAACAAATCAGCAGAGGACTGTCCCCAACTCTGTCTTATATTCCCTCACTCCTGAGACTCTTCCTTGGCTGACAAGAGTTTGTTAATAATGCCCATCAATGCTGTTTGCTAGCTGAACCAGAGGGATTCTTACAGTGCAACAGAAGACGCTGAATAACTCCATAGTGCTCCCAGTCCCCACTGGTCTGGGGTGAAAGAGTCCTGGCTTTGCAAATCAAACCCAGATATTGCATGTGAGCCTGATCCAGCACCCATTGAAGCCAATGGGAGTCTTTACTTATGTTTTCCGCTCAATCTTTCTGTACTGAATTCTTTTGTACTGGTGTAGGTACACAAGCACAACTCCCCACTGTAAACATGGCCTAACATACAGCCCTACACAGAATTTTTTTTCTGCTAGTTTCATCCAGTGTAGCTATCAGTTACCAAGGTAAGTTGCACTGATGCAAGCCCTGATTTGCATCAGTGCACTGTGTCTGCATTAGCAGTTGGCACCAGCGTTAACTGCATTGCCAGAGCTTCACCAATGTAAGCAAACCCATTTGTAGTTACACTGGTGTAAATTTCCCTACTTTAGAGAAACCCTCAGTGACAGTTGTTATGGGAAGCAGACATGAATAGATGCAAGCAATATGGTAATCTTCAAAAAACATTTAAAAGTCTTTCTTGAGTAAACAAGACTTCATTGTGTGTTGATAAATTGTATAATCAATTGCTTGACCATGCTTTGGTTCATTATTTTGTTATGAAATATACTCAAGGCCAAATAACCAATGTCAGTCAGGTTTATTAATATGGTACAAGAAAAAGGTTCTATGTGATACCAGTTTCTGAAGAGCAGTCCCATGCAGATATGTTATATTCACCTTATGAAGAAAGTGTGCTCCCCAAGTTACACACTTCAGCTGGTATTATTTATGTGGTTTTGCAAGTTTTACATTTCTTTACACATCACTAAAATCCAACTGTTTGCTCCAGTTCCCTAACTTGTTGTCTTGTTCCTTCCTTATTGTCATTTTGGATACTAGCATTCCAGATATTGTACTAAAGCATAGGAAACTTATCTAAATCAAAATACGTACATTCATTCTGAATGCTTACTTCAGCAAATGCAAGGTGTTATGGGATACTTAGCATTAGTGACCAGGATTATGGGATAGGCCAGTTTAGGCTATATCGCTGTTACCATATTTGTGCTTAATGTTATTGGTGTTTAATGTATACTAATATACATATGGTGCAGGAAATACATATTATTAACATGATATATTTATATCTAGCCAGCATATATTAGTCAACAGTGTGACTTTTAAGATTCCATTCAAGGCCCTGCATTCCAGTGGAACAGATCCAAGTTGTTGTCAATGACAATGAGATGGGGCTTCTTTATCAGAGAGGGTCAGTGAAATATCACTGGAAGGAGGACGTTGCATCCCCTTTACACCTAATAAAGAAGAAGAAAGCTATTTAATGATGCTTTTCGAGTTTTGCTATGTTGTTAAATGAAGACAATGGACTAAGTAATACAGAACGCAAAACCATGTTCGATGGATTAATTTTATATAGATATTGATAAGCACATACTGTGGTTATCACGAAAAAACTGATGGATGCCCCATCACTTTAGGACAATCTAATATTAGACTGGACACAGTATTTAAAAAAATTATACTGAAGGGACAAATTCTGCACAGGCAGAGAGCCAGGAGGTAAACTAAATGATCTGACAGGACTTTCCCATTTCTGATTTCTATAGTGGACAGCACAGACAATAAGAAGATTGTCCACTCTTCTTGCCTATGATGTGGCAACCATGTCAGAGCTGCTCATAGACTCATAGACTTTAAGGTCAGAAGGGACCATTATGATCATCTAGTCTGACCTCCCGCATGATGCAGGCCACAAAGCTGTCCTTACCCTTCCCCTTGACTCTGCTGTTGAAGTCCCCAAATCATGTGGTTTAGAGACTTCAATTAGCAGAGAATCCTCCAGCTAGCGATCCCTGCCCCATGCTGCGGAGGAAGGCGACAAACCTCCAGGGCCTCTGCCAATCTACCCTGGAGGAAAATTCCTTCCCGACCCCAAATAGGGCGATCAGTAAAACCCCGAGCACGTAGGCAAGATTCTCCAGCCTGACCCTCATTAGCCATTATACTATTTACCAGCGATGGCACGCTGTTCCTTTGACTAAAATCATGTTATCCCATTAAACCATTCCCTCCATAAACTTATCTAGCTTAATCTTAAAACCAGACAGGTCCTTCGCCCCCACCGTTTCCCTCGGAAGGCTGTTCCAATATTTCACCCCTCTGACGGTCAGAAACCTTCGTCTAATTTCAGGCCTAAACTTCCCCATGGCCAGTTTGTATCCATTCGTTCTCGTGTCTACATTAGTACTGAGCTGGAATAATTCCTCTCCCTCCCTGGTATTTATTCCTCTGATATATTTAAAGAGAGCAATCATATCCCCCTTCAGCCTTCGTTTGGTCAGGCTAAACAACCCGAGCTCCTCAAGTCTCCTTTCATACGACAGGTTTTCCATTCCTCTGATCATCCTAGTGGCCCTTCTCTGTACCCGTTCCAATTTGAGTTCATCTTTTTTAAACATGGGAGACTCTTAAAAGTGACTCTTTAACCTGTG